GGGGAGAGAGAGAGAGAGAGAGAGAGAGAGAGAGAGAGAGAGAGAGAGAGAGATTTATAATGGTATGCATGAGATTGCATTTTATTGTTATATCATATTTTACCACAGTTGGTCTAGCGTTTGGTCACATAATCTACCTGTTTATATGTACAGAACAATTGATTGACTGTTTCTCTCCCCTGTTTTAAAATACAATATTATATAATAGACACCACTTTATGCATAACATAATAATAAAGTCAAAAACACAGCACAACATGCATTTTATTATTCATTCAATTCCATACATATTCTCGTTGTTATATAATATAATATTCTTGATGTATAAAAATATAAAACCAGAATTTGAAAATAGGATTATAAGTAATGCATGAAAATAAAGTTTTCTCATTTTTTTACACAACTTTTATATAATTTCTTTCGTTTATATTATAGTTAAAGAAATCGAGTTTTGGGAATGTATTCCTATCGATGACTGATCTGCACACCGATGGCACCTATCGTTGCGAAGTATGTCTTTATTATTATATTAATTATAATACTTTCTAAACATGATATAAATGCATATTAAAAATCATTCGCATAAATATATATTAATATATTTTAATTAATGTATTATTTATTTAACTTATCCATAGGTGAGCGCAGAAGCGCCCAGTTTTCAGACCGTTAAGAGGGAGAAAGAATTGCGAGTTTACAGTAAGTCTTTTGTATATGTTTTTGTTTATTTTATAAATATTTATTAACAACTAATGATAATAATATTACATAATATAACGGTCTTATAAGCTATTACTGACTGTTATATTAAATTAAGTATATTATGCGAAATAATTCAATAATACTTTATAACAGTTAATAATGTTATTCATTGTATAAAAGAGTTATTAATTTTAATGAAACGAAACGAAAATTCATTTAAAATACATTAATGTTAATCAGATAAGGATTTGAAAGATTTATGTTTTCTTTTTTTAGCAGTAAATTGGGTTTCATATGTATATAAATATGATAAATATTAGATAGCAATTGATTTTTAAAAATTTCATACAAAAACTTAAGATTATTATAGAGTAGAATAATGGCATATCTTGTCATATAATGTACAGTAGAGTAGATCCCGATGTGTGTGATGTATGAAAGTCATTACTAAGTCAACACATAATTATTGCATATATTAGTGGACAGTTGGGTTGTGTCGACAATAAGTGAATAAACATTATTTCCATCGGATGTCAGCCTCTCTTTCTCCTTATGTTAACATTATTTTTCTTTGATTGATGTCATCGATTGTAAGCCACGAGTAATACAATAATCAAAATTCGCCGAATTTTGCCTTTAATTCGCTAATAATAATAATGTGTTTTCATATTTCATAACATTTAATGGTTTCATACTTATTTCTCTCTCTCTCTCTCTCTCTCTCTCCTATGGCATTCATTCATTCAATGATTTATTTCCTGACGATTCACTTCTTTGATTTTAGGCATAAGTCGGACAGCAATAAAATAATTGATTAGATCTTTACTGTAGACATAAAAGTCTAGAAAAAAGTAAAGTCGTCTTAAAGTTACAAAAACTCCAAATTATTTATAGACTAAAAGTTTGCGATTGAAAGTCAACAAAACTCTACTTAATTTAATTTTGCTTTTTCTTAGTTTTCTTTTTTTCAGATTTTTATTAATTGATTCTTTCTGTACATATGTTTGACAAACCATTAATTTATAAGACATTTAACTTTAAATTACATTTTATTCATTGGATGTTAGGTTTTATTTTGTTACAAAAAGTGTTCAATAAAACAAGTTCACAGATATTTAATGAAAACAATTTTTAATTTAAATTCTCAATAAAAATGCAATTTATTTGAATAAAATATTTTAAACTATATATATTTCATTAGTTTTTCATATTTATTTTGTGAAACGAATGTCTAATGAATTTGTATTTTTATTATTTGTTAATTAAAAAATTTATTATAAAAAGGGGAGAATATTATTGAGGAAATAAAACAGAATTCAAATTATGAATTGTTTGATAATTGAGTGCAAAAACCTATTCATACTGTTAAATGAGAGTTAAGTTGACTTATATTTATGATTAGTCTATGTTTTGCTATAACGACTTCATCACTGAATGCATACATTTGTCTTGACGTTAATTTGTTTGTTAGATATTTTAATGGAAAAATTGCATTCATTTATAACACAATGAAATATTCTCATGTATTATATAAATATATGATTTATTCACCTTTTGCTGAGAGATTTACACTTTTGTTTTAATCGGAACTACAGGCGCTTGAATTTGCAATAAAGGTTTTGTGTTCACCAGTATTAGCCCGCAATACATGTTGAATGCAGAATATAATACATGTCTTGTTTTCATACATTATGTTTAGACTTCAAAAAAACGTGAAGAGTTTTGTCAAAATCTGTGCAATAAAACACCAAAAATTGCTTTTAAAGCATTTCTATTGTTTTTAGCCTCACCTCAACACTTGACAAACAAATTTGAACGAATGGAGAGAGAGAGAGAGAGAGAGAGAGAGAGAGAGAGAGAGAGAGAGAGAGAGATTTATAATGGTATGCATGAGATTGCATTTTATTGTTATATCATATTTTACCACAGTTGGTCTAGCGTTTGGTCACATAATCTACCTGTTTATATGTACAGAACAATTGATTGACTGTTTCTCTCCCCTGTTTTAAAATACAGTATTATATAATAGACACCACTTTATGCATAACATAATAATAAAGTCAAAAACACAGCACAACATGCATTTTATTATTCATTCAATTCCATACATATTCTCGTTGTTATATAATATAATATTCTTGATGTATAAAAATATAAAACCAGAATTTGAAAATAGGATTATAAGTAATGCATGAAAATAAAGTTTTCTCATTTTTTTACACAACTTTTATATAATTTCTTTCGTTTATATTATAGTTAAAGAAATCGAGTTTTGGGAATGTATTCCTATCGATGACTGATCTGCACACCGATGGCACCTATCGTTGCGAAGTATGTCTTTATTATTATAT